GGCCGCACACCGTCAATATGACCAGAGTGACCAGACAGTGGCAGGATGGTTGGTTTCAAGGTTTTAACGCGGAGTGGCTACTACATTCTCTGCACCTGAGATTTTGCTTTGAGGGAATGCTTACAGAAAACTGGGCATAAAAACAAACCTAAATTATCTGCAAACGGAAAAATCACGGCGGATATGGCAATCACCTCCGAAGCAGTTCGCGAACGTGAGGTGGAAAATTGTACACAACGCAAGCAGATTGGCGTGGTGCGTCTAAGGGTAAGATTAAATTTGCAATGCATCAATCGGGTAGTCCAAAGTTTTGCAATTTTCGTAGCTCATGTATTGCTGTCGAATGCAGATGCCCAATACAGTGTTGTAAGCGTCCGCACTTTGGTTATACAAACAAGATTACTTACGAAGTCGTGAAGCGCATCTGCGAGGAGCATTACGCATATGGGTAAGATAATACAAATAGTCTTATTCCTCGTAGAACAACCAAAAGATCTATCCCTCCATTATTCTGGTCGTCCTACGAGGAATATAGACATAAGTATTGCATTTTGCTTGCAAACAACAATACTTTCGATTTTTTCCTATTTAATTTTTTCAACATGGTTAGACGCATACTGAAAAAAATAACGCAAAAAAGTCAGCCCGAATTCGCAGCCTTTCGAGCATCCAGATACTTGAATTTATCTTCCGACCAATTTTTCCACGATTTTAAAATATTGCAAAGAAACGTAAAAGTGAACTGTTGATTACGCTGAAATGTGTGGGAATGCACAGAAAGTAATTGAAAAGCGACTTGCAAAAACTTGATTTCCTTCGGGAGCACAGCTTTCGCTCGTGTTATATAGGGTCACAATTTCACCAACATCCTCAAAGGTGACGTTGGCTTAGCTCGGTCAAAAATTTCGCTGTTTCGTGGTCGCCGCGAACGACACGCACTTCTCAGACATTTCGCGACGTCGACTTTGACCACAGAGCACACCTCAACTGAACTGGGAGCGGCGCAGTGATGCAAAACAAGGCCGACCGAGTCGTGAACACGAACAGCGGTCCCCATGACACCAATGAAGCGTCAGCCCCGTGGTGTCGCGTCGAATGGAACAAAACAAAAAAAATGTGTTTCGCACAAAAGCTCAAGAAGGCTCCGCCGACCAAATGCAGCAGAAGTCCCGCAGCACATGTTGAAGGGCCTGTGGTACAAAGTGCAACTACAGACGCCTGAATTGGGCGCGGTTTCAGGCGCAGCGCAGCAGATTGTCCCCGTTTTCTCCTCCACCCGGCGACACATGCCACTCAAGTATGCTGCTCGTGTTGGCTCGATGCCAAGTCCGCTGAGATGTTGGCTGCATGCACGCATGGACGCAGCTGCAGCTGCAAACGCCTCGCGGTAGGCACGGCCTTGGGCGTCGTTGCGTCTCAATGAGACCACTCTGTTTGCACGTGCGGTCAGCGCGCCCAGATGGCCTGTGGCGACGGCGTGGTTTCCATGGTTGGTTCGAGCCTGTTCTTGCTCCATCTCCGGGCAATGGCGGCCATTGCACGGCACGGCCAGCAGGAACGCAACAGCTGACAGCGAGATCGAACGTCGCGCTCTGAGCGGTGTCCGCTTCTGGTAAAGCCCATATCTCCACTGTTTATCCGTTTGCTATTGTCATTACATGGACTTAAAAGGTTTGCCTGATGACATGCGGGTGTCGCTAGGATCCCGGCGAATGCCAGCAAAGTCATAACGGATGTGTAACGGATTGGACATCTCCTATGCGCACTGCTACGCTGCATTTTGAGCGGTGATACGGCCGCTGACTCGATGAGTGGAACGCGCCATTGCGCTTCGACCAACAAGCATTCACCGACTGTGGCGGCATGTAAAAAAAAAACAGCTGAGTGGCCTAATTGCTTCCCTATGCTAAGAACAAGTCAGATGTGCATAAAATGCCCTCAGATCTGAGGCATAATGTAAGGCGTGGTGTGGCAAATATCACGTGATATGAAGTTCATATGCTATGTTTTCCATTTCTGGTGTTTCCAGCGGTAGTCTTACACTACGCTCTACGTTTTGCATTTCTGTACATACTCTCATTCTTCCCCGGGGCTAACATGAATGCAGTACTGCGTTCAGCTCAGAGCAGCAAAACAGACCACAACACCCAGGGACGCAGCCAGACTCCGCAACCGGAGAGGGGAGAGCGGCTGCCATGATTTGCGACGGGTAAGTTAATTTTTATGGGCGATTCTCAGCCCCACTGAGAGTACCTACGCACTGCGGCTTACTAACAGACCCCACAAACGCTAAGAGGTAAGGTGCCAGCCTAAGAGTGATCTTTCGATGCCGTTAGATAATTTTCAGCTGTGCAGCGTACAAACTCACCCGGTCTTCCACAGCCTTATCAAATTACGGCTGTTGTGCTCTGCATGCCGCTGCCCATGGGAGAGACTAACATCTTCCTGAGGTTGCCGACAAAAATACAGAGAAAAGGTAGAAATGGTACGCATAGAAAAGGTCCGTATTCCTAATGTTCGTCAGGATAAACTACGTGGGATATCAGGTTTGTTATGGCAAAAGTTCATAATGGAAAAAGTGCGTATTGATAAAGATCGCTCTGTAGGATGTTGTTCAGGAAAGCATTCGTAGCGCGAGTGTTCGTATGAGCAAAAGTTCGTTGGGATAAAGGTTGTAGGCAATTGCTTTGCACCCAAAGGTTGGGGCACGGATGTTTGTCAAATATAGGGTTCATTTTATACCAAAAATTAAGCAAAGGTTCGTACATCAATACATGATATGAGTACATAAAGTTGGCGCAAAAATGTTCGCTAAGAAAGAAGTTCGCTTGACAGCGCTATGCAAACAAACATAGCATGCAGATGTGTACTAATCATTGGAATACAGGTATTTATTATTGGTGTCAGGTGCCTGATGAGTGGTGTAGTCGTGATCCTCGGTCCTCCTCGATCCTCCTAGATGTTGCGCCAAAGGCTAGTGAGAGCACACTGGTTGTATTGCACAGAACAGGCTCCCAATATATACTGGTCCACACGTGCCCACTCTCGACCCACCGCTGTGTACATCATGCGCACGTGTCTCTGGAAGGCGGTGGGGGAAGTATTGCCCTCCGTGCATTCAGGAAGACGTGGGGTGAACGCATGGGGCGTACATGTGGAGACCATAATGCTGCACAGTAGCCGCGACCACGCGTTTCCCATTGATCCATGCGTGGGCAGCGCGACCCGCCACCTGCCGGTCATCTTTGTACTTAAACCGGAACCAGCTGAGCGAGGGTCAGGCGCCTCAGGGTCACTGAGGGCCATAACTGAGGTCACTGAGGTGCGTCCTATGACGGACCGGCCCTGGCGCGTGTTCCCTTTGTATGACACAGAAAGGAGGACTTCGATCCCACAATGGTCACTGTGGCGGCCACCCATCCCATTGGCTGGGAAGAGGAGGAGGAAGGGGATGGCGATGATCGATAACAGTTGGATAGGGCAGGTCAGGTATCATAATTAACCCAGCTCTTATGACATCATTTTCACTTTGCATTAACTCTACACTCTGAGATAACCATAGAAGGATCTCGAGTCAGTTGGGGTTGCCGTGATGGCCATGGGATGGAGGGAGCTCGAGGCTGAAACAAGCATGTCCACTGCAGATACCCCGCTAAGTTTGCTCTGCTCCCCCAACTGTCCATCACCCAATGGCGACGCCTCTGTCGACGACGTTGCCTGACGCCCTTGGGCATGTCACTCAAGCCCTTTTGTCAAAACGAACATTTTCCATCCGTACTTTCCATGTGGTATGATATGTCCGTATTATGCGATGCGTACATCCGTATGGCATAATGCGGGCATTTGCACAAGCGCTTTTGCGTATGCACTTCTGCGTACAGACTTTTGCGTTCTTACTATAACCGTGCGAACTTTGTACTCCACGTTAAGCAGCTTGCGAACAATTGCGCACGTACTTTATGCACGCGTACTTTTCCAAACGTAGTTTTGTCCTAAAACCAGCTATGTAAGATTGAAAACCATGAACTTTTTTTGAACACCGGATTCCAGAACCACATTCAAAGGTGTCGTGGTGAAAAATGCGCTCGCACCTGACGAGGGGTAAAGATGAAGCCTGCGTCCTCTTGGCTGTTCCGCTGACGGGAACCAAGATACTGCAGGGGTAATCTAGAACACTAGGATGTACGCGTCGAAGCTCTTGTTTGATAGGTGGCGGTTGCGTCGCTACCACGCCGTCTTTAGTCGAGTGACAGTCTGGCTGTTAGTTGTGTGAGCGGTGCCCAAAATGATTGAAATCTGCGATCCGATTCAGACACATTTGGAATGCAACATTTTTTCCTCACCAAATACTACTTGACCACGAGCCGCGACGGCTCATATTACGGTGCGGTGGGCTGGGATCAATAGCGTACGAACGTCCGAAAACGTGACTCGGTAACTGCATTTTTAAAAGCATCACTACCACAGAAGGGTGTGCAATGAGCCAGACAGTGCTGCATTTGCTTCGCTGCCAAACTTTCAAGAGGATTTGGGTTGTCATGGTGTCCACAAGAAGGCATCCACGGCTGTGCAGCGGCTGTACTAGCGGTATTACGGAACCAAAAATTGGGGTACTGCTTCGCACCCATTGCCAGTCTATTTGTTCTCGAAAGTCGGAATGTGCTCAACGTTATCCAGGGGCATGGGTTCCCAAAACAAGTCGGGGAGGGGGGTTGAACGGTGAAAAGGGACCCAACCCGCCTCAAAATATACCAAAAACCAGGTTTCTCCCCGTAATTTGTCCACTTAATCTCTCGTTTAGGGGGACTGGAGCCCGAGCTGGAGGTGGTTGAAGGCCCTCCCCCAAATGAATAGGAAACTACACCCCCGGCATATCTTTAGTTACGAGGACCCAAAGCCGAGAAGCAATGTCCATCAATGTAAAGGAAATAGATATTCTCCGTATGGTACTTGGTAGCTCACTCATCCATTACTGCCATATTGAAGTCACTGGTGGGCTTCGTTGCAATGGCGCGGGCAGTGGCATTGGCCTGACAATAGATCCATGGTCGTAATGCCGATTGAGCTAATTGGTCTTGTAGGATAATCACCGTAAGTAGTGGGATCCTGGTTGTAATACTTGGACCTTGGTTTGCCATTTTTATCCTCATCGTTTCTCAAAAGGTTGTAATATACTGCGCCAATTTTGTCTACTGAGCGTCCTTTGTGCTTTGTGTTGCATGCTAGCTTGGCTGAACAAAATGTGTCCCCTTCATGTAAAGCGGGAGGATTACAAGCACCGAACATCCCTATGTTAACTGGTGTTCAGGATGACCATTGAAATTGTGTGATGACAGCGTTTGATGTCCCTTAACAGATAGGATGTGGGTGTAAGGTTAGTTAAATGTTCAGATTATATTTGTGAGGCACTGCTCAACATTTAGGTGACTGTCATTCTTTTAGTGCCTGTGATGCTGGCTGTAAAAAGGAATATTGGATGCTATGTACCAATGTTTTTGGTATTAATGAGATCTGATAGTTAGTGTGGTCATTTAGATTTAGTAGTCAAAGTCATGGCTTTTTCATTTGAAGTGGTTGGTCAAGATGCAGGTCCCTTTCTTTTTTGATTAAATTGTATTGATATGCTTGGAGGTATGCCAGTGATTGGTATGTTTTCAGTCCCACAAATGTAAGTAGATGTAAAATTGTAATGTGGCACAGGTTGTAGAAACTTGTGCATGCACCATGATTTAAGGTTATGTTAGTGACAAATTCAAGTGGACATTGTGAAACAGTATATATGGTCTCAGGATCAGACCTGGGTTTCCCATGTGTCCAAGATGCAGGGGAAATTCAGGCTTTATATGCATCTAGACAATGCTTGATATGCTTCAAAAGTGATAAAAGGATTTCAGGCATAGGTATCTCCATTCTGAAGTAAAAATAACATTTTTGTAGTGGAATTGGGTTCTGCATGTACTCTAGCATGAGTCCTAGCCTCCCACTGAGGAGCTTCATCTATATTTTGTCACATGGCCCTTATTACCTCACTCAGTGGTCACAATTGGTATGGTAATTAAAATGTGTGCAGTTGTAGGATTTGCAGTAGATCCATGTTTTGTTGAATTCCAATTTGCATGCACAGTTCCCAGCATGCAAGCATATGCATATTTGCATTGTTTAACTCGTTGTTGTTAGCACCATTGTAAAACTCTGCAAGTCTTATCTGTCCTTGCAACCATTGGTAGGTAGTGAATTTATGTGATATCCATTGCTTACCACATTTCTGGAATATTGTGGCTACTAACCAGATAATTCTGGTTTTGTCAGAAAGCATGGCAAACACTTCTACTGCCCTGTTCTATCATCCTAGCTATTGTAACTGGAATGCCGCAGATTTAATATTTCCATGAACAAATGTCTCTGATTCATGGAAAGGATAAACTTTGTTATGCATTTTTAGTTATGCATTTTTTGTTATGCATTTTAGGTAGTGAATTTATGTGATATCCATTGCTTACCACATTTCTGGAATATTGTGGCTACTAACCAGATGATTCTGGTTTTGTCAGAAAGCATGGCAAACACTCCTACTGCCCTGTTCTATCATCCTAGCTATTGTAACTGGAATGCTGCAGATTTAATATTTCCATGAACAAATGTCTCTGATTCATGGAAAGGATAAACCTTGTTATGCATTTTAGTCTGATATATTAAGCTCACAATTAAAGCTGATTCATCATATGATTCACTCTGGCTTAATAGGTATGGATGTATGTATGGATGTATGTATGGATGTATGTAATAGGTATGGATGTATGTATGGATGTATGTTATAGGTATGAATGTATGTATGGATGTATGTAATAGGTATGGATGTATGTATGGATGTATGTAATAGGTATGGATGTATGTATGGATGTATGTAATAGGTATGGATGTATGTATGGATGTATGTAATAGGTATGGATGTATGTATGGATGGATGTAATAGGTATGGATGTATGTATGGATGTATGTAATAGGTATGGGTGTATGTATGGATGTATGTAATAGGTATGGATGTATGTATGGATGTATGTAATAGGTATGGATGTATGTATGGATGTATGTAATAGGTATGGATGTATGTATGGATGTATGTAATAGGTATGGATGTATGCAGTGGGATGTGAAGATGTCTTAAAACAACGCAGATGTGAACATTCTGGTGTGCTGCTTGAAAGTAAGCATTGCTAGCAGGCATTACAGGCATGATATTTCACACCCTTTATTCCCTCAATGGCTGTAATGTGACATATTGAGTTATATGGTATTGCTTTAAGCTATTAGCACCTAATACCCTGTCTGTAGGCATGGTGGCATGGTGATCAAAATCTGAACAGCAGTTGTGAATGGTGCAGTGTCAGTATGACAGATGAGTGGTGAGCTGTCACCCATCTTTCAGCCCTGTGGGCAATTTGCACATCATTTGCTTAACAATGGCTCCCTTTAGTTTTGGCTTGCCAACTCAGTCTGTGTTGATCGAAACTGTGCAAGCAGCTGTGCACCTTGTTGCCAATATAGTTTAAGTATGATTTGGTCATGATAGCTGAACCTGAATTCTTCCATGCAAACCATTCAGAATAACGTCATGAAAAACAAAACAAATCTGTATGGAGAGTTTACTCTGCAAATCTGATACTGTTTGGTTCCTTGATTGCTAGAATAATTGGTTGTTTTATATGTTGGTTCAGCACTGGCAGCGTGTCTTACCAGGCTGCTTACTTTACTTCATAAAAAGCCAGAACTTGACAAACATGACTGTGACATGGGAATCTATAATGTTATCTGGTCCTCTGGCATGTGGTAAATGATGTTAAACTTTGTTTGCCACCCAGTTTGTTAGTCAGTCATTGCCTGCCAAAATACAGTTGGTAGCTGCAACAACATGGCTTGTGAGGGTAGTGTGGCAATGTGGCCCCCACTTGGCAGGGGAAGCAAGGGAGATGAACCTGACTTGAATACAAAACACTGGAGCCTTACAATGCAGGTATCATATGTTCCAAAGTCTACCTGCTCAGCAGGATGTATGTGCATTTGAAAGGGCAGCAGCTCATCCCATAGTGACTTATTACACACAGTGGGTACTGCTATCACCCCCACTCCAAGGGCAGTTGTATGATTACTAGGGGATGTATGCAGCACCCCAGGCTTCTAGTGGTGACAGCTGGTGGTCCAAGTGGTCTATTGCTGCAACAGAGTGCTCTACATTCAGCTCAGGCTGAGGTACAGTGCTATCCTGTCTCCATGATGTTGATGATATTAGATGGAGGACATCGCGGTAGAAGACTCAGTTCTGTTCTGAGCATGCTGGTTGCCTTATGCCTACTATCAGCATTGTTCCTCACTCCACCTGCTTAGCCTGCTTGCATTGCACTGTTGAAAGAAGGTGATGAGGGCCTAAGTCCAGGCATGTTGTGATGTACATGGTTCTGCTCAAACAAACTTCTAGTGGAGGCTGGGTCATGTGGTCTCCTAGTGAAAGGGAAACTGATGTCAACAGTCACTGCTTTGTATAAGTGTCCCACGCTCCGGGGAAGGATGCGGGGCTCGTTATCCAATATTGCTAGGTACTAGTCGTGGGACGGACGCATTGTCCTGCCCTGCTGACAGGAAAGTGCCAGGTGGGAGCTGACCAAAGGGGGTCAGTCTGGCACGGGGTGACACTGTTATGGTGCCACACGACATGGTGGGAGCTGAACAGAGGGGTCAACCTGGTATGGGGTGGCCGTGTCGTGGTGCTACACGACATGGTGGAAGTTGATCAGGGGAGGTCAGCCGGCATGGGGCGGCCGTGTTGTGCCATACGACATGGTGGGAGCTGACCGGAGGGTCAACATGTCCCGGGGCGGTCGTGTCGTAGTGCTTTATGACACGCAATGACCTCCGCAGCCCTCCGAGGAAGAAAGGCTGGAGACTATGTTATTCTGGTTATTCTGTGAACTGTATCAGTCTACCTAGGGTGGTGGGTTCAGGTCGCACGCAATGAATTTGGCTCAGCACACACTGTGCGCTCAAAGCCATCAATCCTTTTCACCGAAATAGATTGTCTAAAAGAAATTTCAGTGTTGCTCATTTGGACAGGTAGCGTTATAGCGTTTCGTTTCGCCGAAGGGACGGTGGGACGCCAAGGGGATGATTCACGACCAGCCTCGCTGAGAGCTGTATGTTGACTTCTAAACATGGAGATGTTCATAGGAGCTGCAAAGGGACGGTGACGTCTGGTGCAGCCGAGCAGAGACTGGCCGCAATAATCGTGAACATTATGCAAAGTGATCTAACCAGGCTGCCGACGGCGCCGCTGCTGGCCGGCACTGGGCCGGCGGGCTGGGGCTGGTGGCGGGGTCGGCTGCAGCTGCCGGCGGCGGCCTTCTGCTGGCGTGGCAGGCGCCGGGGGGGGGGGGGGGGGCTGGATCCTGGCGCCCGCGCACAGGCTGGTCCGGCGGGTGTCGGGTGGTCTGAGGTGACCCAGCCGGAGTCGCTTTTCACATGGCAGGGCTGGGTCCTCGCCCTGGTGTGAGGCTGCACCACCTTATCTGAGATGTTGCCTCAACGGCGCTTAGATTGTGGTGACGGCCACCGTCGTCACTAACCCGCCCTGACCTGACCTGCCGTGACAGCAGCGTGCTGTACTCATGCTGTCGGACCTGTGCTCATCGACTGTGTTTAGACTGCTGGAGTGGACTTTGTCACTGGTCTGTCCTGAGCTGAGCTGAACTGAACTGAACTGAACTGAACTGAACTGAACTGAACTAAGCTGAACTGAACTAAACTGAACTGAACTGAACTGAACTGAACTCAACCGAACTCAACCGAACAGGCCAGACCAGACCTGACCTGACCTGACCTGACCTGGCCTGATATAACCTTATGTGACCCGCCGTGCCGGCAGGCTGCTGGACGGGCGGGCCGCCATGGGCCAGTGCTTCTCGTGCGGGGAGCCACAGGAGCGCGACCCGCCGCCCATCAAGCACAAATATGACGGCGTACCCACCACAGGTCAGTGGTCCACCGCGTGGAGTCTCGCCTCATGGAGCGGCGCTGCCGACGGGCTGCTCCGCTGGACACGCGCTCCGGCTCTGTCCGTCGACTGATTCACCTGTGTAGTGTAGAATGGCGAGGTTTTGCAGGCGCCGTTAGGACGTCTGAGAGTGGTGCCATTGTTTGTTTTTGTGTTGGGATGAAATGGCTGGTCCGAACTCTTGCGCGACGCTCTGCTGTGTTTTGTTTGTATCGCTGTATATGCCGATCTGTGTTAAAGTTTTTATTCAATTTTAGCGAACGGGTGTGTTCGTAAGTAACTACTTGTTACGATATAGTGATTATACATGATGCTCTGTTACGAGATGTAAGTTCATATATAGGCTGATCTCGTAACCGGCTGCAACTTGTATGAAACGTACGATACTTCAAAGCCCATCATTGCCCATGTGAGAGTTCTTGGCATGTTATCAGATGGGACCGACACAGTCGTATAGCAGAAATGGACTGCGTTGGTGCTCGTGGTGAAGATATCTCCTCACGTTGCTGAGTACGGTCACGTTAGGTCAACAGATAGTTGCTTGGCTTTTTCGAGTAGCGTGATTTATCCGCCGGGCCAACATGTCAACTGATTCGGTTTATTTTTCTCTATCCTTCCATTTTATGTATGTTTGCTATCTTGTCGATCGTGGTATTCGTTATGACCATGTGTTTGTGAGGCAGTTTGCAGCGGTTGCCGGCATCAGCCGCAGCGTCCATTGGTACTGTTACTACCGCCTGTTGCCGAGTCTGGTCCGACTACCCTCCCGTCGTATGGCACCGTGCTGGCCGCGGCCCGGCGCTGCCCACCTGACCCGCCTAACCGGCCGCCCCTCCGCCGGCAGAGTGTCGTCCGAGCGTGCCCAGCGCGCCAGCGGCGGCCGACTCGCCGAGCCGGGAAGGCGCCGCCGGCGCCGGCGCCGGCCAAGCCGCTCACGGTGCTCTCGTCGGACTCGCTGCGCTCCGAGAAGTGGAGCTTCCCGCGCGTCACGGCCAAACGGCCGGCCGAGGCGCGCCGCACCGGCTCGCGCGACGTGTCGGACGCCCGTTTGGCGGCACTGTTCGAACAGTACCGTGACCCGGCCGAGGACGCCATCCTGGCCGACGGCGTGGAGCGGCTGTGCGCCGACCTCGAACTGCGGCCGGACGAGTTCCGCGTGCTCGTGCTGGCGTGGCGCCTGGACGCGCAGGCCATGTGCCGCTTCAGCCGCGCCGAGTTCGTCGGCGGCTGCCGCGCGCTGCGCGTGGACAGCGTGCGCGCGCTGCAGGCGCGGCTGCCGCAGCTGGCGGCTGAGGTGGCCGCCGACGCCGCGCTGTTCAAGGACCTGTACCACTTCACGTTCCGGTTCGGGCTGGATTCCGACCTGGGACAGCGTATTCTGCCGGCGCCGATGGCCATCAGTCTGTGGCGGCTGGTGTTCTCGCAGCGCGAGCCGCCGCTGCTCGAGCCGTGGCTGCGCTACCTGGAGAAGCACGCGCAAATCCGCGGCATCCCGGCCGACACGTGGTCCATGTTCCTCAGCCTGGTGGAGGCCGTCAGCCCGGACCTGGCCGACTACGACGACAATGAGGCTTGGCCGTCGCTGTTTGACGACTTTGTCGAGTACCAAACGGACCAGGCGAACCAGAATGTGAGTGAGTGCGACCGGGACTGACGCGGCGGCGGCGGCGGCGGACGACGAGCCGAGCGTCGCCCGATCGTCGAGGCGGCGGCCGCCGGCTCCGGCCGCGGCACCGGCGCCGGCGGACTGCCGGCGGCCGGCTTGTGTTAGCTGACTGACGCAGGGCGACTGCAGCTGGAACCCGGTGACGACGGCAGCTGGTCGTCTGCTGGCTGTGCCAGTCGTGTGTGTGTGGGGGGGGGGGGGGGGGGGGGGGGTGGGGGGAGGGCGCAGCAGACGCGTGTTGCGCGGCCCGACTGTGCGCGCGTCGTATCTCAGCGTGGAGCGCGCGCCCGAGTCGGCCAGCCGTGTGCCACCGAGGTGGTGAGCGCGGCCGCCGGCCGTGGGTGTCGTGTATCACCGGCTGGTTGCAACCTGCCCACTGCTAACAAGGCTTTAAGTACAGGGGTGGTTGTGACGTCACTGATGTGCCCTGACCCTCAGTTCAGCCGCACTGGCAACGGGAACGGGGACCGGGCGGGCGGGTGCCAGACCGAGCTTCTGTGCGGGGCCGGCGGACCCGCTGGGCGCTGTATTGCCGGGTGATACCGCAGACACAGAGGGGGGGGGGGGGGCTTGGTAACGCCGCGATTCAGTGGAGCTGGGGTCTGCCGCATACGGCTCTGGACTCGTCGCCAGGTGATATGGGGCGGCGCTGGTTCCCAGAGCAGGGTTCTGCCAGCCGGTCTGTCGGCCATGCTAGGTGTGGCCCTGTTTGTGATGCCCCCTCTCAGGTAACAGAGGGTCGGCGTAGTGCATATGGGGCCCTGGCGCGTTGGCATGCATCTACCAGGTATTGAGCCATGGATGTAACCTGTACATACTGGCTCGCAGCCCTTGAATAACACCCAATGACGCTTTGTCTCTAATGTAATGCATCTGTAATGCTGTCGGTTTCGAAGCGGGGTGATTTTTAGAAGCCATTTTCCACGCTGACCGCTGATTTGTCGAAACGCTTTCGTTTCGCGGAAGGTTTGTGTTCGGAATTGCTGATCTCGCTTAGTTCTGTCTTTGTTGTTCTGTGTTTTGTTTTCGCTGTTTTCGTGACGAGGAAGAAATGCACCACTCGCATTGCGAGGGGCTAACGCGAATACAGTTTTCCCAATTTTGCAGGCAGGTGGTTTCGCGAGGCGCATGCGTTAGTGATTTGATGCAAGTGTGATTGATTTTTTACGCGATCAGGTCAAAGCGAGAGGGCTTGACGAATCATTTAACATGGTTTTTATCCCGGCATGCAGATGGTGTGGTACAGAAGTTCTCCGTCGCTAGCTGTAAATGAACGGTCGCGTCCAGGGTGGGCGTGCAGACGAAAGGCCAGCGGACACATTTGCTGTCTAGGGCAGGCGCCGACGGGTTGTTCCAACTGGCCTGCGAGGTTGATGCAGTGATGGCCGTGGAGCTCACACGGGCGTCACCCGTCATGTCACGGTAGCAGTGTTTGGGACTTGTTGCCATATGCCCTTTTGTTTGGACCCATGCTGCCAAAAGTGCAGTTAGGTGACTGTCAGAACTGCCATAGCATTCCGAGACGTTTGGGAGCTGCCAAAACAATGCTTGATTTAGATGTTTTGGAATGAGGCTTCATGGCCCTAATCTATGGCGTAGTCCGCCACATCATGGGCTGGTACTGAACTTTTTTTCTTGGGGGGGGGGGGGGTTGTGATGCAATGGCGACAACTTTTGGTTTATAGCTTTTTGGTTGTAGGAACAGGTCAATTGATCGCTTGTGCGCGTCCTCCGCAGCTCTGCTGAGATCTCAAATGGTCATATTGTGCCCCGGTCGTACCCTTGGAATGTTAAGCCCCATTCGTCACTGTATTGACGCAAGTTTCCATTGACTTGACTGACGTTTATTGAGAGGAGTCTTGTCGGGCTGTATCCGCTTATTTGAAATGGCTGGTGAACAAAATTCATGAGGCGGACAAAATCCATAGACTGAAGCTGCATTTCCGGAAAAAGTTTGGGATGCTTTGTGAGCTCGAGGCCGCCCGATCGATCACTACGGAAATTATATCTGAGCCAATACGTGAAATTAAGCTGTAGTCTTTGTGGCGGCGACATTCTACTCTAATGCGCTGTATGCAACCAGAGAGAAGTAACATGTTCATTGATCACAGCGGAGAGGCCTCGTGCGCTTTCAATGACGTCATTGAAATGAAACCTCCGGATCTAAACGCCGGATGCTTCTTTTGCCTCCTTGGCTGTTTGTTGTGGCTGGCGATAGCGTGAATTTTTGTGTGGAGTGGGTGGGTTGGATTGGGGAGAAAATCGGGATGAGGCGAGTGGATTTAGGACTGTGTGTACCAACGATTTCGTGCTTCTAGTCGTGCGCTCATAGAAGTGACAATCGCAACCCCTCTTGTGGCAGTGGCCTGATTGTGTTTTGTGGGTTTTGTGTGGGAGAGAACAGCCCGGAGTCGCACTACCGTCCATCGGCGATGCCTGGGACCGACTTCATACAGTCAGGTATGGTTTTTGCTGCTCTTACTGTACTGGGGTCTATACTGTATTCCGGTGTTGCTGATATTAACATCTGATAGGATTTACTAATATGGACAATTATGCTGAATTGCACCTGCCATGTATTCCACTTACATAATGCCAGGAAGATGTGATGTGACAGATGCCACTTGTGGTTTCCCTAGTTTTTTAAATGTGTGACGTGACTCTTCAAATGGATGGATTTCTGGGATCAGAGCTCACACTAAGCAGTGTTTGTTGTGTAAGCCCGACCCCTGCCATCTGATACAGTAATTTCAGGCACAAACAGAATTTGGTGGCAAAAGGTTGACACACACCATGCTTGGCAGGATCTGTACTGCCCTGATATCAACTGACCTTGAGCACCATCCCTGTCACCCATCTCAGGCCATACCTGTCAAGGCAAATAGGGAGCACTCTCAGCAGACTTGAGCTTACCCCCATGTCAGGCAGATCTGAAGGCAGGTGATCAACTGGGCCACCAGAATGAACTACCCATCTCAGTTGACTTGGTTTCTTAAAGTTGACCTGATGTAGCCCACCTGCTTAGTTTCAGTAGTCAATAGGCTGCAGTGTGGGGGTTGTTCAGGCATTTGTTTCGGGCAACCTTGATGCTGCAGCATGCTGCATTACGATCTGAGGTAGTCAGTTGAATCGGCATGTATGGATATGCAGATGTCTGCAAAGACTGGGCTGTCAGATATTTAGTCCCAAGTGTCATATGTTCATGGGTTAGTTGCATGGTTGCTGGCAAAAGTATTGCCAGCATCTGCTTGAACCTTCAAGTATCCTTGAAAGCATGGTGAGAAACAATGTCAGAAATTGCCCCTTGTTTGAAAATTGGAGAAATTGTTCCAAAGCCTATATGAGCAATGTTTGGTCAGGAGTGCACTCAGGCTGTAATGGTATCTGTGGGTGAGGAGTCATTATATATATATATATATATATATATATATATATATATATATCCCATATATATAGTAGGTAGGGTTGGCAAATATTGTGACACTTATGACTAAAGATGCTGCCAAGATTTATCCCTGTTTTGGGGTGCAGGTCACTTGTTTCATAGTGAAGCATGGGTGTCTTGACACATAATTATACACTCCTGTGGCATGCAGTCTAGTACACACCAGCCTGTTGAACCTCATCATGCAATCATAAGAACCAGTATCAGGCCAGTGGCCCTTTTCATGTCCCATTTGTCATTGTTGCCTCAGTGCCAAGTCTTGTCAGGTGTGAGTCACTTACATGCAATGATTGCCCAAACCAGGATGTGTCAGGAAGTGTATAAACATCCCAAATAGTGAATGAAAGGAAAATGGCTGGGAGATGGAGAAACATCCAGGGGGGTGTTGCAGCATAAGTGATCATAAATGACCACAATGCTGCCTCACTTTTTGAGCCAGGGCCTAAGTAAGCCTTGCAGCCATACCTGTCCATTTTAAGCTGTAACTGAGGGCAATTGTGCACCCATTGCCTTTTAATATGGGTGCCAACATCTACAAGAGCAGCCACAAAACTGCTCTCTTGGTGTAGGCATGACAATGGTCATCTTTAATGTACTTAATAGTCATGTCTATAGCTTCAAATGCCAGCCTTAAGATACTGTCTGATGTGACACATAAGTAGGTCACAATGGTTCCTATGCAATGCTTTGCAACTCTCCTACCAGTCCTTCCTATGATTGTAAACAATGGCGTCACAGGTAGTTGTTGATGGCACCGCAAGCCGTAGATGAGCGACTGCACTCTTTTGAGAGCAGTCCCTCATCTACGGCTTGCGACGTCATTGACACTTGCCTGCGACATCCTTGGTTACAACCTTACGCATGCGCTGAATTAACGAAGAACAGGGGCCTGTGCTCCAGCATGAATGCTGGGCTGCCACTCACCCCGTAACCATACGGACATCGAGTGTCTGTCGTCACTGGGCGTCTTTTCGTCAGTTTAAATCGACGAAGAGATTGTAACATTCGTCATTACAATGACGACTTGGCCCGATTCCAAGTCAGGATTGTGATGAGTCAGGAGCGCAGGATCAGCCAAATGGTGACTGTAAAGTCTTCGGCCAGCAGCTGTTATGGTTCTTGCACCTGTATACCATGCGTGCTGTCCGCTGCAGACAGATGCACGCGATAATACGCTGGAAAACAAAAGGAACAGAATAATCGGTATTTCTGGGATAGCGCCGCGATGTCTTGAGGCATGGCGCAAGGCAATGCCACATCACCCCGTCTTTGGCGGCCGTTACACACATTCAAGTAGGTTTCATTGCATTAGGTACATATACTAGCACTTAAAACATTCTGCGTGCAAAATGGATAGAAACATGGGTTTAAAGAGTTTCAGTATATAAAGGAATCAACAATAAACGCATCAAAACGTTTACCGTTGCAGCAAAATTCCGCGGTTTCAAAGTGGTTTGCTGTTCTGCGGCCGTGTATCCACGAATGCCTACTGAGGTCACGTCTCATTTGCTCCCCTCCCTCACCAGAAGACAGAGCAGACACCACATCTTCGCTCACCAGTAATCACCTTCAGAACACCGCCGGCG